GCGGCCGGCAAAATGTACTGGATTTCCGGGTTGGACGCCAAATGGCGTCCTCCCGCACATGCACACTTTTCACGCTTGCAGAGCCGCGCAGCGGCGCGATCTGTCACCGGCCGTGTACCTCGGACACGGCCGACGACAGATCTGAGTATCGGCCCCGTTGCCAGTACCATGTGACCTGCTGTGACCAATCACAGCAGGTCACACGACAGTTGTATACATTGGATGGCTTCATTCATGCCAGTATACTACTGTCTAGCTGTGAATGGTCATAGCTAATCACATGCACATGTCATGTGATTAGCTGTGGCCAAATCACAGCTAAGCACAAAAAAAAAAAAAAAACAAAACCCTGAATGAATCGGTCATTCAGGTAAATGCTTGCTTATAGCAAACTACTTCTTTGCTATAAGCAAATTGTGTAAAAAAAAAAAAAAAAAAAAAAAAAAAATACTGATCACTTCCCCAAAGTAGTATAATGTTACTATGGTAACATTGTACTACTTTGGACATAGTGAAATATGAAAAAAAAAAATCTTAAAAAAAAAGAAAAAATGTAATAAATTAAAAATAATAAAAAATTAAAAAAATAAAATATTTTTTTTTTTCATACTGTCACCAGTGTCCCTGATCACCTCCATGCCAGTTATATGATGATGCTGTACTGCACTGGTGACCGTATATAAAAAAAAAAAAAAGTGAAAATAATTTTTTGCATTTTTTAATTTTCCGAAAAATTATGACAAAAAAAATACAACTTCAAAAAACTCGCCATGCCTCTTATGAAGTACGTCGGACTGTCTACTTTGCAAAAAGTGGTCATTTGGGGGATATATGTACTGTTCTGACATTCTTGGACCTCAAGAAATTAGATTGGCTGTCAGAACTTCAGGATTGATCAATATTTAGATCTATACCATAGTTTGTGAACTCTATAACTTTCCTACAAACTAAAAAATACATCCTAATTTGGGTTATTTTCACCAAAGACATGTAGTAGAACACATCTTGGCCTAAATTTATGAAGAACAATTATTTATTTGCAAACTTTTATAACAGAAACAAAGAAAAACGTGTTTTTTTTTTCAAAATGTTCGGTCTTTTTCTGATAATTTAGCAAAAAATAAAAACCTCAGTGGTGATTAAATACCACCAAAAGAAAGCTCTAGTTGTGTGAAAATGATAAAATTTTAGTTTGGGTACAATGTTGTATGACCGCGCAATTGTCATTCAAAGTGTGAGAGCGCTGAAACCTGAAAAATGGCCTGGGCAGGAAGGGGTAAAATTGCCCGGTATTCAAATGGTTAAAATGCATAGTAACCTGATTGCATGGTACATAAGTACCATGTGACCGATGTGGGCAAACATACTACATTTGAGACCTGCATTTGGGGTGTCGTAAATTTTTTTTACGGATACCCGCTGCAGATCGTAAAAGCAGTTCGTTTTGCATTCGGATTAAAACACACAGGAACGCACAGTGCATTTACGTGAGATTCAGATGCGGCCATGGTGTGAACTGGCCTTGATTAATGAATCAAGTCAGTTCTATATACAATGCCCAAAATAGAACTTTAGCTGGGAAAAGGCCAATACTAAGCAGTGTTGTGGAGAAACCCTGCTCAGTGAAAACAAGGCAAAAGAGAAATGAAATATCCGTACTAAACATGTTATTATGGAAAATAAATGACCTAACAGTGATACTGTGAAACCCACAGGGAAATGTATTCACATGAAGAAATGGTTTCAGAATCAGTGCTACCTATGAATAACTCCAACATATAGAGAAAACGCCGCTTCCACCTGCAATATATATATATTACTTTCTCTGCAAGTAACCAGCAGATACAATGAAGAAATGCACTAGCATACCTGATTCTTTTAAACATCACTTGTGAATATATACAGCATGAAACTGCTAGAATGTCAAAATCATTTTTTTGATAATAAAATCACATCTTTTGGAGCTACCAGAGGCGTTCAAGTCAAACTGGGACTTTTAATCTTACAAATATAAAAATGGATGCTGCTGATCCCAGCCCTTTAGGTGGCAGGAGGCGTAGGTGGGCTTTCAGATCTTGTGACTGCTGTGATTGGTTGTCACAACAGTCACATGATTGGAAGCTCCTGATCACAAGTATGCATCGTGAGCTGCCCAAGACATCTTAGTTACTATGCTGAGCGAGCTCTCAGCACAGAAAAGCCCTTTCCAATGAACGCATATATGTGGCCACTTGGCGTTAAAGCCCACATGCCCAACGGCCACATATATGCATACACAACCCGCAGGAACTGGTTAAATAGTTTGCTTGGGCCAAGCTGGCCCAAACAAACTGTTTCCATTACAGGATTATGAGGACGTTGGGTGAGCTGTGATAGAAGAACACAAAAGCTTTTTACAATTTTCCAAATTGAGGATCATGATATCATCTGCCTGCCTCTCCACCTCGTCCAATCAGGGGTAGCCTTGTATTCACTGATAAAAATACAAGGCTTCTCCTGAACGTCAGAGAAGCCCTAAGCTCAACTCTCTTTATATCCAACAGCAGATGGGAAGTTCCCTGTATTGCTATCGGAACACAGCATTGATATTGATACTACAGTCTATTATAGCACACCCTGTGACCACATCATTCTATAGAATAGAAAATCATTAGTTTGGGCCAGCAATGACATATTTAAAGTGACATTAAACATGGAATTGTAATTTAATATATAAAATTAGGACCTAGTTGATTCATCTAGACAACAGTCTTTGGTTTCTTTACTATGTGTTTTTATAAACACTTAGGCCCCTTTCACACAGTGGGTCCAATCAGTTTTTCAGGTGGACTTTATCAGATGGTCCATGCACCTCTATTGACTGGCGGGTGTAAACAGACTTGTGTCCGTTCACACCTGCCTACCTCCAATCCCATGCACAAAAAAAAAAAGCGGAAGGGGACGCACCCCCTCCATCAAGGTACATTGAATCGGAGGGCAGTCAGGTGTAAAACAGACAGCAGAGTCTATTTACTCCCAGGCACCCATAGGGCAGAGCGGGCTCAGTCCATGTCCACTCTGCAGATACTGAGCAAAGACAGACCTGTAATCCTCCCACTCTACTCAAAACAGAGTCCGCCCTGTGTGAAAAGAGCCTTAGGCACTAACGTTGTATTCATTATAGGAAAAAAACCTATCTATACTAACATGTCTCAGCACACCATATTCATCTTGTCAGCACTGAAAAACAATTTTGTATGATGTATGTCACTGCAGTAAACTTCCCTCTTAAGTGTACCCTCTCATGCTGCTGAACATACTCTAGACAAGAAATCTTCATTTTTATCATGTAACACTGTAGAGATAACCTAAACCTCAAAGGGCTCATACGGCAGAGAGCGAAGCTTCAGGTAAGAAGTAGTAACATGATCACTTAATACCACACACAATGGGGATTACTTATGGAAGATGGAGGCAAAGAAAAGTCAACAAAATTGGAGTTGTTGTCCTTGACCAACAAATTCTTAGGGCTGCTCACAGACAATCAGATCTAAACCCTGACTGGTAGCCATGTGTTAGCGATTGCTTGCTCTAATTTCCTTTGCCCTATTTTTTATTTATATATATATATATATATATATATATATATATATATATATATATATATATATATATATATATATATATATATACACATACATATACACCCTGATATTTAGGCACAACAATGAATAGATGTTGATACAAATTCTGCCATACATGTGAAGTGGCAGAGCCACTTTTTGCACCAGCCATGTCACAGCACCGGATAATAAGTTAGGGCTTTCGTGTCAGCACAACACCAGATTGTGAAAGTAGTTGCAAAATCTACAATTGCATTTTGTAAATGAATACGTTTTTCACTTTTATGCTTTGTTGCGGATCTCCTGCAGCCGCTTTATGGCCAATTTTTTTGTCTACTTCCACTTGCTGCAGCAATGGCTGCATTGCATTTCTCAGGACGGTTTCATGGTAGTAACAATAGTGGGTCATGTGTGCATAATGTGTTAAACGACCACTTGTAGTATCCATCAGAAGCTCATGTAAACAAGTGACATTGCCAGAACACCAATGGGGAACCAGGGACAGAGCGTTGTCACCCTATAACAACTATAACAAGAACGTGCCTGTGCAAAGACCTTCGTGGTATTGTTAGGTATTATTTTAATGAAAGCTGAAATGTAAAATATTAACATGACTTTTGAAATAACATTATATTGAAGCCTAAATGAGATTTTAGTGATATAGTTTACATATACTGTACATATAGGTTATATAATGTCACTAGTTATTTTATTTGATCACAGGAATAAACTTGGTGTGGATTTAAACCTAAAAATCTAAACGCTTAAAAGTAGGAATTTTATGAGAGAAGAGACCCCCCCCAATTAGTCTCCTGGGTTATAAACCTGCCCTGTCATTGAAAGTTTGTGTACACTCAGTCATGCAAGCTCAGCATACATTTACAGCACGGGCCTGCACTGTGATGATGTGACTCCTGTGCGCATGTGTAGGAGCGATGTCATAGATGCTTGACCAAACCAGTGGCTGCAGTTTTGAAACTCAGAAGAATAAATGAATGAAAATGGAAGCGCCCTTGACCGACTGGAGTGCTGACAGTGCAGGAGGAGACTGCTTGTCAGGCCAGTCTGCTATAATATGCTACTATGTGGTACGTACTAGCACATTATGGCTAAAAGTTCCTGGGGACCATCTTTCTAATAATTTTTTTTTTTTTTTTAAAGGTGGTTTAGTTTCTGATTAATCTACAGTAGTCAGGGCTACCATAGTAGAGCTGTGCAGATAGCTGATTAAGTCCTGTAGGTGATTTCATACACATCTGCAGGAGCCTGGTGCACTGGAATTTTCAACTTTCATATGGAAGGCTGATCTAAATAATTGAATATTATAATAAACCTAGCAAAAGGTGATTTACATTACAATACAATATTGTAACAAATTTGACAAGTTTGTTAAGGTACCTGAAACATTTTCAGCCATTCTTGTAGGCCAGTCGGAGGTTGCACTGATGTAATTCTACGTCTCTGCTGACCTTGTCCATTTGCTGCCCGTAGGTCACCAAATGTCGTAGGCGTTGCCGAACATGGCACAAGACCTGTAGTACTGCATACATAAAGCAAAATAAAAATTATTAAATCTGAAAACATATAGCTACACAATACTGCACACGCCACAATTTCCACTTTGAACAAATAGAAAACCCCTCCACTCATTTGCTCATGCGGAAAGAACTGGAATGTGGATATATGCACCTTTATGCTGGCTGCGGTGGTCACAGCTTTTCGGACAGTTTTCACATAAGTTTTTCTTTGATTCATTGCCATGAAAGCTTTGAGTTTCTGCGACAAATACTAGAGATTTGATTGGCAAGGGTCAAAATTGGGAAGAAGTATGCTAGTAGGTTTTTTTTTTGTTTTTTTTTTTTTAAGCATGTCATTCAAAATACTTTCTGTAAATTTACTGAGAATATTTAATCCATTCACACCATCCCCAGAGAAACTTACAGCTCAACATTCCTACCCCATGTAAAGGCACAAACTGGTCAGTTTGGGTAAAATTGATTAACTTTCAAGCATATTTTTGGAAAGTGCAGAGAATCCACATAAAGATGGGTCAGGGGCGGACTGACAACTCATGGGGCCCCCGGGCAATAGGGGATCATGGGGCCCCTGTGTCCTTGCCCAAACTCAAAAAAGCCTATGAAAAAGGTACCAGGGGCATCTCATGGGGCCCCCTACTGACCCCGGGCAATGCCCGAGTTTCCAAATGGTCAGTCCGCCCCTGAGATGGGTACAAGCTATGGTCAATTTGGATGGAAGCCATTAAACAGTTAGCCTGTGCCCAGCCTATGTGGTTTTGTCCCATTTTCCAAAAGTTTGCTATGGCCTATTTAGTTGTAGGATGATTAACCTATCACTAAGTTTTTGGATTGTGGGAATAAAATAGAGCAAGACAAGGAAAGTACAAACAGGTAATGTACGTCCACCATGGTCATGCCCCATTTAATGTAAGCATTATTAAACAATTTTGATCACAGGGAGCAGGATTCCTAAATTTTTTAAATGTCTACAAAACATACTTTCCTGACAAATGTCCTCCTTACAGAATCATTTGGAAATCTGCATTAACCTTGTCTAATTTACACACACACTTTTTATTTACTTGCAGACCGAGAAAAGCTGCCTTGATAGAGGCAGTTTAAATTGTCACTCAAACTCAGGGCACTGGGCGAGGATGTCACGCTTCTCAAGCATGTAATCAATTTCCCAAGCATGTACATTTATAGCGAACATTCCCAACGGGCATGTACTCTACCCCTCACTAATTCAACACTTTGCCCTATGCTATTCAGCATATTGTCAGATACACTGCAGCACAGGAAAGGGTTAAAAGCAAAGCCAATTCAACTGATGACTGGCATCTTGCTTCCAAGTTTATTTCTGCAATCTATTTCATCATCGATTTCACACACAGCGGATGCGCAACATTAGATTTATATGTAAACATACAAAGTGTGTTTGCACAAACTGGATTTAGCATGAAGGAGAGGGTGTCGTGTTTGATCATATGAAGACATGTCATCACCAATCTCTCTCCATATTTTCATGCATTTGCAATGGTCACCTTTTCGTTTTGCAGGTGATTAGCACCAATGGAATCCTTTGAGGGTAGGCAATCCCCATCTGACACCTTTATACACTGAGATCCCATTGCAATAATATGTTTGTATTTGGATACATTTTAGGAGATAGGATGGCCATACATTATACAATTTTCTTGAGATTTTTGGTTTAGATCTACCAAAAGCTATATAATATGAGGTCAAACCTAACAACACTTTCAATTGTATCCAATTACGCAGGCTCTTGCACTACATAGTTGAAGGTAAATCTAAAGGAAATTGGGCAGAAAATTGTATAGTATATGGCTAGCCATAGGCACAATCCAGGGTTAAAAAAGATTTCTGTAAGACTTCTGGTTTCAAGGCTTTAATGAATTATACTAAACTTGTTTGCTCCCTTGGATATCAGCTGGCAACAGTCTTGCAAGACATAAACAAGGCTTTAAACTGTAGATGACGTAGTATTGGATTATAAAAAAAAAAACAAAAAGCAAATACTGAAAGCTGTATGTACTGCAAATTTGCCAATTTAAAAAAAATAATAATAACACAATGAGGGGAATTTACGAAGATGGGAGCAGACAGAATCTGGAGCATTTGTGCATGGCAACCAATTAGCTTCTAGCTTTCATTTTCAAAGCTGATCTGAACAGGCTAAGGCTAGATGCTGATTGGTTCCTATGCACAGGTGCTTCAGTTTTAGTAAATTCCCCCCAATATATATTTTTAAAGGACTGAGCTGACTAACACTGAATCCATAGGGGCTATCAGCACTGTTAAACTGGCATCTTGTGGGTTAAGTGAAATAATCTGACTATTAGGTCTTGCCACTGCAGGGAACTGTAAGGCCATGCAAATTTCAGAGTGAAGTGATTAAGTGTGACTGTAGAGGACAACTGTGAGAAGTGGCAGTGACAGTGGGAAACGGGCAGAGGGGGAAAAAAGCATAAAAAAATAGCTCAGTCTTCTTTCCGCTGTGTTGGGTGCAGCTTTGGACTCTTGAATGCAAATAAGCACCTTGATTTTTGACGTCGCATGGAATTTATTGCTGAGGCACTGCATCAATGGCTTGGCTAGCAAATCTTTAGGACAGACAGGTGAACAAGAACCTGCCAAATATGAAGTGTTTGTGAGATGAAGGCACCTGCAGTAATGTAGCTATATAAACCCTTATTTTGCACTAGCTTGATTGTCACTGGTCAAATCTCTGCATGCAGCATGATCTTCTCAAAGAAATCCACCCACTGCAGGCAATTTCCAATTAATGTAATCACTAGCTAAACGTCTCGTAGATCATCGGAAAAGGTTTTACAAAGAGTTGCATTTTCTGGTTGAAATGGAAAACACTGAGGAAAAGTAGTGTCATTCTAACTGCACTTCTTGCTCAGTACAGCGGACCTGGCGTCATAACAGCAATGACAGAAATAATACCTGCATATCATAATTTCCAATAGCTTAATACTTTCATATTAAATGCAATAACTTCTAGAAAGAATGGTGGACAGCTTTGATTTTCTCTTAAACAACTTTGCCTACATCATGTAATCTTGGGATTTTTTTTTTTTTTTTTTTTTTTTTTTTTAACAGAGCCACCAATTAATCTGCTATTATTCACAAATAGAATCTACCCTCTGGATAGTAATGAAAGCAAAGCTGTGTTCAAATTAGGGAAGAAGCTGAGCAGCTGGTGAGACAGGATGTACACTCCAGTCATGACCAAAGCCGCTATTATTGAATTGAATTACCTTGTGTATTCTGAGCCTTTGCAGGGTTTCTTCCCCAAAGAGAAAGAGCGGACCTCGGATCCATGGTCCAACTTTCTCTTCATCTGAAAATGAAAAGATAAAAAGGCATAAAACGGTGTGCCCAACAACCATGAAAGAAAGGCATATGTACTGGGGACAAGCTGTGAGAGTATTTAAATATAAATTGCATCTTAATATCACAAGGAAAACTACTTTTCCACATATTATATAAGTAGTGTAGAATGTATCAAAACACCATCTTAAGTTAATAAACATTCATAAAACCTCTACATTTTAAACCAAAAAAGGAAATAGATTGGAAAATTCCACTCTAATATGTTAAGCATTAAATGCAGCACTTTTTATTTTTGTACAGCATTGCATACAACAATCATGTACCACAATAAAGATACAACAAAACTACAAAGTATAATTCATAGGGGCTTACCAAATATCACATTTCTTCCTATATGCAGTATACTGGCTAGTTCAGACAGTCCCACTATTGTACTACAGCTGTAATAGCCAGATTCAGAATACCTGTTGCATGTTTTTAAATTGTACAAGCAAATAGGGTTTATGTACTTAAAATTCCAGGCTAATTTCCACTCTAAACATAAAAGTTTTCAGATGCATGGCAGTAGTTTGGGGGTCTACAGAGCTATCAAAGAGTTAAATTTTTAAAGCAATCTAAAAATTTGCATATCAAGTAATTTTTGAATCTAAAAAAATAGCGTGCCCTCCATTTACATGGATGTGACCTGCCATACTGTGGGAAGAGCGACTGCTGTGAGGACTCATGTTTAACTGCGCTTTGCCACCATGAGGTCCTTCTTCCAGAGATGAAAGTCTTGTTTTACAATGATGCAGCCTCATCACTCATTTTACATCAACAAGTGTCAGAAATTAGCTGGTGACTTCTTGAACAAGTACCACCACTGGGATCAGATGGGTTCCTACCACAAAGGTCTGCAAAAGTAATTACTGTTACAAGTCATTAAATCAGGGATGTGCTCAGGACAACCCCAGGGACCAAGATGATGGAGCAGGTCTCCTACATGATTTAGCATTTTTCTTTTTAAGACACGAACGCACATCTGCTTCAGATGTTATGTAGGCAACTCCCAGAGAATTTAGAGTTGCAAAATAATGTTTCAATGGCAAAACATTGTAACAAGCAGGTGCTGTATATTTTCATAACACAGGACTCACTAACCTACATGGTGATGTTAAAAAATACATAAACTGATGACGCACAGCACAGACCGTAGTTATTGTACTGCAGTATATTTTACTGAAGAGCATTAAAAATTAAATCAGTGAGCAGTAATCAAAGCTTTACTTGTATTTATACCTCTGAATACAAATGGAATCATCCTGTAAAGTTACCAAGTAGAATCCACCACATTGGCAGACACTGAAAAACTGAGCAGAATTAACATTCAGCACCATGCTCTCCTGGCGGTTAACCTTGTCGGAAAGGGGTAACTAAAACCTGTGGACTGAAACTTCTCCAGCCATCTATCCGTCTTGCTCCTGGAAAAGCCATATGCCAGTTTGGTGCCAAACAAAGGCACTGCCCATGCAGAGAAAAACAGACCCTTCAACATCCTAGGGTCATTATGTACACACAAAGAGCAGATCTCACCCTTCTCTACCCAACATAACATTTACTTCTCAACAACTTGCTGTTCTCCATCACCCCTTCCTAGTCATCAGAACCAGCACAATAAAGAGTGGCTTGACAAATGCAGGCAATGCGTTATTTTAACCTTGCCAGGAAATCTTACCAGACTTGTGGGCAAATAGCTGGAGAAACGCTCCCATCCTGGAAGTTTACAATACGCAAAGCTGCAGAGGGCATTTTTATTAAGGCACGCTTCCCCAAATTGTGATCATCTATTCAGATCCTGGCCAACACGAGTCCTTGGCACGCAGAAGCAGGGTACCTCCACACCCCGGGCAGCGATCGGACAAGTGGGATGCAGATGAAGGTGACCAGACGACAGCACACAAGAGAGGAGCCAGCTTGGGTTGGGGGAAATCTCATGCCAATGGATGTGTTCTGATCTGCATTGGGAATGCCATCTGCAGAACCAGGAGGGGAGGATGCTGGGTCTGTCTAATCAAACACCATCTCATCACCTTATTCTGCATCCCCATTACCTCTCCCCCTTCCTTCCTTCATCACATCCAATGCAGGCTTTCTCCTAATCACAGGCAGCTGGTCACATCCAGGCAGCACTTACTTTATAAAAGATCATTTTTAAAGTGCCGTAGAACCCCATGATTCCGGAGGTGGCTGAGTGTCGGCGTAGTCCCTGATCAGTGGCTGCGTCTGATGCCTTGTGCAGAGGAGGAGGAAGAGGAGGAAGAGAAGGAGATCCCGTGTCCAGGTAGGTCTGGCACCAGTCGGATGTGGACATGCTCGGACACGTTACAAGAAGAGGAGAGCAGGCGGCTGGCAGCTCCAACTCCACACAGCAGCGATCACACTGGAGTCAGGAGCCCCGCTGAGAGCAACTCCAGAGACTGAGCACGGGGGAGGGGCGGAGCAGCATGGGGACCAGAGAGGAGGGGGGGGGGAGGCAGTACACGGAGGAGCCCGGCACTACCTCCCGTACACTGATTTCTTCCAGCACTACACGGCGGGGATCGGATTCCAGCTCCCCCTCCTCCAAGGAGCCGCAATGGTGCAGTCTGAGCTCCAGCTACACAGCCCACACATCAATTATATGGAGATTCGGGGAGCCTGAGAGGAGGGAGGGACAGTAGAGGGCTAGAGGGCTGACGACACACACACTGCAGCACAACCCGAGCTCACCTACGGGCGCTGCATCGGGGCTACCCGACATCAATCCCCCTCCTACACTGACAGCACAACCCGAGCTCAGATCACTACACGTCCGATCGCTGCATCGCTGGGGGCTACCCGACATCATCCCCCTCCTACACTGACAGCACAACCCGAGCGCCGATCGCAGCTACCCCACATCATTTCCCTCCTATACTGACAGCACAACCCGAGCTCAGATCACTACACGTCCGATCGCTGCATCGGGGCTACCCGACATTCTCACCCTCCTACACTGACAGCACAAGCTGAGCACCGATCACACATCACTACACGTCCGATCGCTGCATCCGCAACGCCCAGACAGTCCCAACACTTGAGCCGAGTCATCAGAGCTCTGTGTATGTAGGGATGGATGGGGGGTAAACCTTCTCCGATCACCTCTATACAACGCCTCCATTCTACGGCTCTCATCATGTCATATCCTCCTACTTAAACAACCAAGCACTTCGCTACCAGGGATATACACATCTAATCAGAATGACAACTTCCATCCCAAGAACGATCATACATCAAAGCTACTAACATGTAGACTTCCACTGCTGAAAATGTTACTTGCTTGGCCGTTAAGATGATCCTGTATAAACCATAGGATCATCATGACAGCCAAGCAATGAACATTTTGAGCAATGGAAGTCTACATCTCAGAACGTTTCACATGATTCGGCTTGACGTGTGGCCCTCGGAGCCCCTACAGACACTACTCTGTTTCCCCATTGCCCTATGATAGCAGTGATTTCTACTGTCTCCAGTCTATTCAGCGAAGCTGCTGCACCACGTTTCTAGCATTATTCTTGTTAACAGATTGCACCCAATTCAATAAAACATCAGCGAGTTTAGGTTCTGACAGCGACTTGTGTGCCAAATTCAGGTGGTTCTGATTTGCTCCTCTTCTACATCATGACAACACCTGTGCCAAATTCAAAATAAAATACCGACAGCTCATATCTTACAAATGTGGACTCAACACTCCGGTCACACCGCAATGAAAACGGCCATATCGGTGTAATTCCAACTTGGTCGGAGCAAAACCGATTTGTAAAGTAGTGCATGAATTACTTCAGGTGCGATTTGCATAGACATCTGTTGCACCTCAAGTCAGACATTCACTGGAAGTCAAACGATCAGTGTAAGACCAACTTTCTTCTGGTGTACAGAGAGATTTTGTGAAAATGTCTCATATGCAGTCTAAATTTAAGTACAGTACAACTTGTAGACAGGTACGTGGATTTGGTGCACACTGAGCCACTTTTAGAACACATGCAGGACAATTTAGCAAAATCTGTTTGTGCAAGTCTTTGTGAATGACTGTCTCCTGAAGCTGAAGCTCTGACCACAGTCTCTGACCATCTCTGGTGTCACGTCCGCAGTCTCTGACCATCTCTGGTGTCACGTCCGCAGTCTCTGACCATCTCTGGTGTCACGTCCGCAGTCTCTGACCATCTCTGGTGTCACGTCCGCAGTCTCTGACCATCTCTGGTGTCATGTCTGCCCATCTCCTGTACCATGTCCGCTGTGTCTGCCCATCGTTTGTGACAGTGCCAATTTTGAGGGCTTTTTAGTACTTTGGCAGCCATTATTTTTGATGGGATCAGCTAACGCACTGAAAAAATGTAACTTCACCCTTCAAGGAAACCTTTATTTTGGGACAGCTGTAGACTGTCAATACTGAACATTCCTTTGGGAAATAAATGTTAGATGCCTGGCTGCTAGATGATCCATTACTGGTTTTAGTAGTTTAGAAGATAACCTGGAACAGGCCTGTAGATCAGGAATTCAAACTTCATTCTGCCCCACCTTGCTACATGCTTATTCCAGGTAAGTCACTCAAACGTAGCCAGACCCAACCAGGCAAGTAGCAATTTCTAGTCAGCAGTGGCAGCCTTCAGGAACCATTCAAGGAAAAGAACTACATTTAAAGGATAAGGATGTGACTGTGGCGAAAGCTGCTTTCTACTACCTACTCTTCATGGTCGCAGATTCCAATGGAGTAATGAGTAAACACTACATACTACCTTTACAATGTCTTCCATTGCACTGTCAAGGCCAGCAGCTATACAAAAATTGTAGCTTCATAAGCACTTACGCTCATTTGTATAGTAGCGTGTGAATCAACTCATACAAACCTCCTGATCCAGCTATATTATTGCAATATTGTAGAAATAACATCATGTCCAACAATTTCTATTATATAACTAAATGTATTCCACAAAAATATTTTCATATTCACAAGCTCTCCCTAGCAGCAGGATGTAGACATCCCACAATAAAGCAGCACAAAAGAAGAAACCTAATAAATCCTATATCAAATGAGACGTAGGGGCCGACTCATGAAAACAGATTGAAAAAAAAGCAAGAATTGGGATTAAAGTGATTGTAAATGCTAACATTCTATAAAATTAAAATAATAAACATGTCATATTTACCTGCTCTGCACAATGGTTTTGCACAGTGTGGCCCTGAACTGCCTCCTCTCGGTTCCCCCGCCAGTACTCCAAACTGCTCCTCTTTTCAGTGTGCCTCTATAGCAAGTTGATCGCTATAGGGGCACACCTGCAGGCTTGCCCTTGAGCCGCACTGTGTGTGGCTATACACGCACGCACAGAGAGCGACTTGGCCCCGCCCCTCACGGTGTTTGACAGCAGCAGGAGTCAATGGCTCCCTCGGCTGTCCAAATCCTTCTGAGAAGAGGAGGAGGAGAGGGGAGAGAAGACCAGAAGCCAGGATAGTGCCTGACTACAGTCAGGCTCAGGTAAGTGTTGTTATTGGGGGCACTAAGGTAAAAGACACCAAGGCTCAAGAACTACTTTAATGACTAATTGGAAATCTTGTTTACATTTTTCATAATAGAATAAAAACAAAACATGACTGGCTCCTAAGGTTTTATAAACTTAGGTTACAGTGACTTGGTCCTCAACATTTGTGCCTTGCATTGGGGTCCTTCGTTTGAGCCCCAGACAGGCCATTATCTGCTTGGAGTTTGCATGTTCTCACTGTGCTTGTGTGAGTTTCCACCACATACTCCACTTTCCTCTCACACTCTACTGACATGCTGGCAGGATAATTGGCTCTTACTATATTCTACTGAGCGAGGCCAAGATGATTGCTTCACTGTCCAACACAATACAGATAAAATGCTTTGAGTCCCCAGGGAGAAAGGAGCTATATAAATATTAATTAAAAGGAATGTATTATGTAAGATTTTGTTAAAATATAACTAAAGGCAAAACTTTTTTTTTTCAGTTTTGGATAGAGTGTAGAGAGATTAGAACCCCTGCCAGTTTTTCTGCTTTCTGTGTCCTCTGTTATGGAAATTCACCCTCAATATTTGTCCTATTTATCGCCATCTAAAGTGAAAGTAAAATCCTACATTTTTGGCTGACATTGAAACAGTAACAGAGGGTACAAAAGAATAGAGGACACTACTATTTCTGCTGATCTTGATGACACCCCAGATTCCCTCACTTAGGAGAGATTTTCTCTCACTTCCTGTATTGGCTTTGAGACAGGAAGTGAAGGAAAATCTACCTAGTGAGACAGGTGGCAAAAAAAATAAAAAAACAGACATGGGTTATAACCTTCTCTTACTCTATCCAAAATGGGGGAAAAAAATTGTTACACTTTAAGAGCTCTCTTGCAATATACCCAACTAATAATGGACCAAAACAGGTCAACGTCTGACTTAGAATGCCGGATCTACCCATCCTCAAATTACTGATGTTCTGTAGGGACCTGTAGCTGTCATCCCAGTTTGGGTGATTTATGTGTGGTAAAATGCTTAATTCCTGTTTCCTCTTCAATGTTGCAAAATCAGAGGTAACCATTGTCTCTGAAGATTATTAGCAATTACCTTTGGATAATGGCAACTGTCTGGGTAATCCATTTCAGAAGTGTGATTCTTCTTCAGGATTGGATAACGATAACTGGGGAGTGTCTGAAGAGGGGGCAGATTGATCACAGACAAGTGACTGATTTCTGATCTGATAGTAATTGACAAGATGAAATACCAACTACGTCTCATATTTTCAGGTACAAATTATATCTAATGGTTTCAGGTTTTCTAAATGCAAAACTTGACTAAGGCCCCTTTCACATGGGTGTTCAGTTTAGATCCACCTGTCATTTTTTCTAATCTAATCTAGACTGAACCACAATGTATGTCTATGGGTGGGTGGATATAAACAGACAATTATCCGTTTACACCTGCAAACATCCATGTCTGTTTGGGTCATTTTTTTAAAACAGAACAGCCAATGTCTAGATCCGTTGAAACTGAATGGATGCATACTGATTTAGACTGAATTGAAGTGCAAACTGATGTAAACTTAATCTGTTTTTAATTAAAAAAATAAAAAACACGTGGCTGAATAGATGATGTCTGTGTGAAAGGGGCCTAAAGGTCATCATACATGTACAGAGATTATACAACCTGAT